GAGGAGGCGGAGGCGGAGGCGGAGGCGGAGGCGGAGGCGGAGGAGGCGGAGGCGGAGGCGGAGGCGGAGGCGGATGTGGAGGCCCGCGCTCCGGGTCGCGTCCCGCCTGCCGACCTTCAGCGCCCCCCCCCATCCCTGGGAGTGAGGGGGAGGAGGAGCAGGAGGAGAGCGAGTCGGCGGCCATCCCTCGTCCTCCTCCCCCTCTTCCTCCTCCTCAGCTTTCCTCCTCCTCCTGCTCCTCCCCATCCTCCTCCTCATCCTCTCACTCCAATTTTAACTCCAACTCCAACTCCAACGCCTCCTCCTCCAACTCTTTCTCCAACTCGTCCTCCTTCTCCTCCTCAGCTTTCTCCTCCCCCTCTCCCTCCTCGTCCTCCCCCTCACTCTGCACCTCCTGGAGCCTCCCTGTGAGCGCCCCAGGAGGAGGAGGCGGAGGAGGAAGCGCCGGAGGAGGAGGAGGACGAGGAGAACCATGAGGCGGAGGAGGAGGAGGTGGAGGAGGAGGAGGAGGAGGAGGAGGAGGAGGAGGAGGAGGAGTGATGGCCGCCGATGCTCCTCTGGCATTGACGGCTCGGCAGGATACGGAGAGATGCAGTGTCTTTTTGGTGGGCGTGCGGCGGCCGCTTCCCCCGCGCGAGGGCCTCACGAAGATCGACCCGAGGCTGTTCCGGCAGCCTGTCACCCGAGTCAAGGCGAGCTTTCTTGCGAGCTCGCCGTTCGCGTGCAGATGTACGGTCAGGAATTTGGGCGCTTATCGTGTCGCTTCGCCGGTTCTGGCCCATCACGCTCCGGCGCGGCACGCTTTCCGCGTGCCCACTTCCGATCGCCAACGTCCCGAGCCTTTCCCCGCCGCCCGCCGCCCCGCGGACCGGAGCGACACGCTATCTGTTCGCAGTGCATCGCGTGTCGCCAGGGCCGCCGCCGCTACACTCTACGCAGAAGCTCACGACCGTATCCTATCTCTTTTGGTCTTCTTTTGACAACACTACTCTTGGGCCAGTCCCGCAACAATAAATCTCACTATCTTGCGGTCCTGGAACTCCCGCCTGGTCCCGCCCGAGCTGTCTCTGAGGGTCTGGCGAGTGGGAGAGGCAGGGAGGTGGGGGAGGGCCGGGGAATTCGTTTGCTTTGTACGTGCAATGCCAGGTCGCGTACATTCTGAAACTCCCGTCCAAAGCTAGGTAGGTCACCGAGGTTCATGATCTCTTGCGGAATGCTCGGGCGGGCCACGGTCAGCATGGGCGCCGATGGTGCGTGTATGTATGCTCATGTTCTGTTGCCGCCTCTTGCGATCGCAACCTCGGTGCCTCACTGATGCCTTGCCTAGCCCACACATGTACCTTCTTGCAACAACTGTTCTACCTAGAGAGTGTTTTGCTGTGTCTTGAAGACCTCTCGGGAACATCTTGGGGGTCTTTGGGGGCCTCTTGGGGCCTCCTGGGTACTCATGGGGCAGTCGTTGGGCACCCTTCGGAGCTTCGGGGGCCATCTTGGGGCTATCTGGGAGGAGATGGATCAACGGGGGGGCTTCTTATCTGGGGTCTCACTTTCGACGAGCCAGACGAGACCGAGTTGGACAACATGATCTCCATTGGGCTGGATCGAGCTGTGAGTGTCTCGGGGCCCGAGGCTAAACAAACTTGGCCCGTGTGCAAAGATCGCAGTCCCAGGATCTTAGGGTCTTTCTTCATTTCTCCAGTTTGGAATCCCTATGTTTGGCATCGCTTCACTTCGGTGCCGATCTCAGGGATTCCTTCGGTTTCTGATGGCACAAATCCTTGAGATTGCCAAGGCCTTTGGCTTGCCGATCTTAGGGATAGGGATCGGTTCCCCGGTTGGCCCTCTCTAGGTGGCTGGCGGCACCGCGCCCTTCTTCAACCTGGCGCTGAACCACCAGGCCCTGTCCACCAGCAGCCTTCCTTGCCTTCTCAAGGACCGGCCGGCGGGGGAAGGTACTGCGTCGACGGTGTACGCGCGTGCGCCTGAGTGTTGGGGCTCCCATCCAGCTTTCACCTCAAACAGCTCCTCCTCGTTTCCCGTCCTCCCCATCCCCTTTTTTTTGCGTTGCATCTTCGAGGGACAGGTGTCCCCCAAATTGGTGCCGTTTCTGGTGTCTGACGCGGGGTCGATGCAGACTCGACGCGGAAGTGGCGTGGATTCGACACGGATTCGGCACTCTTGCCCGACGTGCATTCGACACGGATTCTACCCGGATAGGGGCGCCATATCCCCTGAGTATGCAACGTATGTGGAGGACTTTTCGGCCAGTGCCGCCGACCTTGAATGGGGACGACGACGACGACGACGCCGGCGACGCTCTGGAGCCCTTTTCGAGGCTCTCCTGGGAGCCTCTTGGAGGTCCCCGAAGATGCAACATATGCCTATCTTCCCATCCTCGTCCTCCTCGCTCGTGCTCGTCCTCCCTCCTTCCCAAGGGTACCGGTTCCTGCGGCCAGGCGACGGCCATTGTCTCCCTGAGGCTCCCACCTTATACCCTTTCTCGTTCCCTCTCCCCGCTCCCGCACTCTGCCCTTTGCCCTCCCACGTCCCTCCCTCCCCTGTCTTTGCTTCGCTTCAGTCTTTTGCTTCGCTTCAGAGGCTTACGCCTTTTCGCCGCCGCCCATGCTGGTCTGTGCCAGGCGGGCCTGGTGCCCCATGGCGAACTCGGGTTCAGGGCTGGGCACCCCTCCTCGCGCCGAGGGGCCGGCGTGCGGGGTAAGAGCTGCGCTGCCCCTGGCCCACGCGGTGTGAGCCATTCCCCCGTCACGTCACGAGGGCCGCCTCAGTGCCCGAGCCGACCGACCGTCCTCCCGCTCCTCCTCCTCCTCCTCCCCCTCCTCCTCCTCCTCCTCCTCCTCCTCCTCCTCCTCCTCCTCCTCCTCTTCTCCCGCCTCTCCCGCTTGGCGCGAGGGCCCCCTGCGCACTCGGGGTGGGGTGGGGGGGGGGGCGCCCCCGCCCTGCGCCCTGGAGAGCGGGGGGCCCTGCTCGGCTGCTCGGCGCTGCGCTTTCTCAGAGCTGCGGCGCTGCGCTGCGCCACTCCCGATCGGCCCGAAGGCCGTGCCAGTCCAGAGCTTGGATTAAGTCGGGCCTGTCCCTCTACAGGGGGAATTTCAAAGGTAGTCAAAACATAGTATTGGGATTTTTTTGTGTTTTGGGCATCTGTTTGGGTATTGTTTGAGTATTGTCGATCTTTCGTCCAAAATCCCCCTGTAGGGGGACAGGCCCGACCTAGAGCTCGGGGGGCACATATTGGGCCGTGCCTCCGGCACCCGGGCATCTGTGCGATCGTTATGCGTGGGTTGTTGCTCGGGCAGGCAGGAGCGGGAGCAGGTGGATGGGGGTGGGGAGGGGGAGTGGGGGGGAGGGGGAGGGAGGGGGCAGGAGGAAACCCATGCCAAGAAGCGCCCTGCTTGCCTCCAGGGTGCCCTGGGTTTCTCGGTGGTCGATGGATTTGCTATGGGACGCGTGGCGTCCCCACACCCAACATCAATGGACGTCCTGGGGCCTCGTGGTTGGGCTTCTTGTAGAAGGTTTCTCGAGGTCGAGCTCCCACCTCAGTCCTTGGGGCCTTCTGGGGGCTCCCGCCCCCTTGCTCCGTTCTCCTCCCGCGACTCGCCGCCCCTGGGGGACCGTCTGAGGCCTTTCCGCCCTCGGTCTTGTCTCTTAGCAGGCGGGCGACTGATCCTCGCGCAGAGGTCTTGGATGGATCGTGGAGCTCCAATACACCAGCCCATGGTCGAAGGGGCTGCACAGGAGCACAACACACTCAACCACCTTGTGAGCACAAGGAGCACCAGGAAGATCATCGGAACTGCACACACAACTATATATATATGTGTGTATATGTATATATGTATATATGTATATATATATATATATATATATACACATATATACATGTATATATATATATATATATATAGATATAATATATATATATATTCACACGCACCAGCATACGTGCTCCTGCCCCAACGGTTGTGCCATGCATGCTCTTAGAATAAGTCTTGCAGGCCAGCGCCCCACCAACTACACAGTGTGATGCATCAAGGTGCACAAACAGCCTGACTGCACGGATGATGCAATTCTAGCTGATACTATGGTTACCACGTCTCTGTCTCCGCATACTCAAACATGCCGATAGAAACAGCTGTGGTGATACACGTTTTCGGTCGGTCCACCCAATCCCGAGCAGAACAGGATGCATGGCCTGCAAGATCTAGCCCGTCCAGACGACATGGGGTGCAATCGGCAACCGGTAGCGAAGCTCCACTTTGTCGAAGGCCACCTCTGGACACCTCGCCTTGCTCTTCGTCGAGTCTGCGACGGCCGCAGCAACCCCCTCAGAGCCGTCCACAGGGGGGGAATGGGCTCCCGCAGTGGGACGCTCCTCCAGCCCGCACCAGGCGTGCTGGTGCGAGACGACCTACAGTGGAAACCCATGCCAAGAAACACCTTGCTTGCCTCCAGCCCTGGGTTTCTTGGGTTTCGATGGTTTTGCTACGGATCGCGTGACGTCCCCATACCAAACATCAATGGACGTCTTGGGGTTTCAGGGTTGGGTTTCTTGTGGAAGGTTTCTTGTGATCGAGCTCCTACTGTACATTCGGCCCTCTCTTGCTCCTGCCTCCTCCTGCGACTCCTCCTGCGACCACGCCGGCCTCAGGACATCACCCATGACTACTACATCGGCGCGCGCGCCCCTTCGTCCTGCTGGCCTTGCTCGTCTTCGCCTCTCGTCACCCTCCTCCCTCTCCGCCTCTTTCCTCGTCCTCGCCTTCCCCCGCCTCTGGCGTGCCTCTTTCAGGAGTGGGGCACGAGGAGGAGGAGGAGGAGAGGCCGGAGGAGGAGGAGGAGGAGGGAGAGGAGGGGGAGGACGGGCAGGAGGGTGATGAGGGGGAGGACGATTTCCAGCAGCAGAGGTGTCTGGTCACGCACGATGGCCTGGCCACAGCCAGCCCCGCCTTCTTCTCCTCCGCTGTCCTCCTCCCCCGTCCTCCCTCCTCCCCCTCCTGGTTCGCCTCGACTCTTTCCTCGTCGTCGTCGGCTTCTTCTTGGCCCTGCTGCCAGTGCTCCTTGTCGCGGTTGTCGCCCCTTCCTGCTTCGGCCTGCCACCTTTTCGTGCCAAGTGCTGGACTGCCTTCAAACTGACACCGCTCCGCTGTGGTGGGCGTCGTCGATGCCTTTCAGACACCCTCACCGCTTCTTGCGCAGGCCTTGAGACCAGGGCCGCCGACCCCGAAGGGGGACGACAGCGACCACGACGACGACGACGACGCTGACGCTCCAGAGCCGAAAGTTAGCCCCGGGGAGGGGTGCTGACCCGTCGGGGGAGTGGGGGGGGGCACACCCCCGTGGGACCCCCCACCTCTTGGGCGGGGGAGGGAGCAGAGAGAAGGAGCTCACCGTCGACTCGACTGCGAAGATGCTCGATTTGCGAGGAGGAGGAGCAGGAGGAGGAGGAGGAGCAGGAGGGAGGAGGAGGAGGAGTAGGAAAGGGAAGATGGAGGAGGAGGAGGAGAGGGAAGAGTAGGAAGAGGAGGAAGAGGATTAGGATGAGGATCATGATGATGATGCTGCTGATGATGATGCTGATGATGATGATTCTGCTGCTGCTGATGAGGATTATGATGATGATGATGAGGATGATGATGATGTTGATGAGGAGGATGAGGAGGAGGGGGAGGAGGAGGAGGAGGAGAAGGAGGAGGAAGAGGAGGAGGAGGAGGAGGAGGAGGAGGAGGAGGAGGAGGAGAGAGAGCGTGCACTGCGTCGTCGCCCAGGATTTCTTACCAATCGATCCAAGGATCGCGTGCCCGCCCAATCGTTTCTCACGGTCTATCCAGGGGTCGTGCTTCCACGTCCCGGCCGTGCTGTCCAGGCCAGCCCGCCCTTGCCCTCTCGCTTCGGTGTCCTGCCCGCCCGCGAGTGCCTGCTCGCCCGAGCCGCCTGTTGCTGCCCGACCCTTCCCGACCCGCCCGAACGGGAGGAGGAGGAGGAAGAGGAGGAGGAGGAGGATGAGGAGGAGGAGAAGGCAGCTGCTGCTGCTTTTGCTGCTGCTGCTGCTGCTGCTGCTAAGGAGGAGAAGTAGGGGTAGGGGTAGGGGTAGGAGGAGAAGGAGGAGGAGGAGGAGGAGGAGGAGGAGGAGCGCCCATTAGGGCCCGCCCACCCGATCCGCCGAGCACTCCAGGTTTCGTAATAAGCGTATGGGGGTACCCGCCCAGACGGGGCTCAACCACGCCTCGCCGTCGCTCCGCGACGGCGGTCGGAGCGCCTTCGGCGCGCGGTGGCTGCCCGTGACGGGGGTCGATGCGGGGCTGTCGGCGGGGTTGACGCCCCCCCCGACGCTTATTAAGAAACTCGGAGTAGGGTCCGCCCGCCCGACCCTGCTGTCGTGCAATGCCAGAATGCATGTAGTAGTTGGTATGGCGAGATGTGCCAAATTTAAGAGGTACGTTTGTAGAAGAAGAGAACGGGGGGTCGAGGCGTGGGGTTATGTTGAGGGGCGTTCGAGCATATAAACGCGATTTGCCTTTAGATAATTGCTGTCGCTGACGTCGCTGATGATGATGACGACTACGGAGTCCGATTGAGACGCTCACGGCGCAGTCGCGGACATTCGGCCGAAAGAATACGTTCAACAAGTTGGCCGAAAGAATACGTTCAAAAAGCTTCAAAGCACCAGACTTCCCCAGGCCTAAGAAGCGGATCTCTGAACATTGCGGACGGCTGACCACAAATCAATCGAGCTTCCGGCGTTGTCGGCTACGCAATTGCAAAACGGTCCAGACCGATGGTTCATAAGAAACGACACCCAAGACACTACATTCGCTGCCGTCGGTTCGGACCAGAATCAAAATGTGCGGCTCGCAGACCTCAGTGAGACCAACCTCGTTTCCGTAGCGCCAGTGACCTGCGTGCGATGATGATGACGATGATGTTTACGATGGTGGTGACGGTGATGATGGCCACGAGGTTTTCGATGATGGCATTGCTGATGTTGTCGATATTGATGTTGATGCTGCTGATGATGCTTTTTATCATGGTAATGACCATGGTGTCGATAGTACTGTTGTGACGATAAGTGTGACGATCCTGGGGTTATGGTAATGCTGATGCTGCTGCTGATGATGATGATGACGATGATGATGATAACGGTGATGCTTATGATGCTGATGATGATGTTGCTCATGATGATGATGCTGATGGTGATGATGATGGTAAAGAGTATGATGAGGACGATGATGACGATGGCGATGACGTTTGTTTTGATGTTGATGATGGTAGTGGTGTTGGTGGTGATTGTGATGGTTGTAGTGGTGATGATGATGCTTGTGATGTTGGTGATGATGATGACGATGCTGATGCCTACGATTATGATGATGATGCTGATGGTGGTGATGACGGAGGTGACAGTGAACGTGATTACCGTGCTGATTGCGATTGTGATTGCACGGTGATGGTGATGATAGGTTTGATAATGTTGCTGCTGCCGATGGTGTTGCTGTTGACGATGATGGAGACAACCTGTGGATGACGATGAGGACGATTACCATGATGGTGACAATGCTGTTGCTGATGACGTCGATGACGTCGATGATGAGGTTTTTGGGAAGGGGGGGGGCGATGCGCGCAGGGGCTATACGCTATACGACTTACATCAAACCGACCAGACAACCCTCGGCATTCTACCATGCCTCAGCGCGCCAGGCGGCGGGGTTGGGGCACACGTAGGATGATGGCGATGACGACGAGCATGCTGACGTTCAGGACGTTTATCCGTAAGGGCTTCGCCCCCTGCCGCCGGCTCCCTCTCTCGGAGAATGGGCCATGGAAGAGCGAAGTAATGAGGCTTTGGCTTTGCCGTGAAGCAGCGTCGGGACCTATTTGTTTTCCGACCCTGACCCTGCCGATCTGCGTGAGGGGTGCCGCCGAATTTCAGACATGTGGCAAATCCCTTCTGTTTTTGGACCCTGACCCTACGAATCTGCGTGAGGGGTGCCACCGAATTTCAGACATGTTTCAAATCCCATGTGTTTTTTGGATCCTGATCCCGCGGGTGCCACCGGACTTGAGACATGTGGCAAATCCTTTGTGTTTTTGGACCCTGACCCCGCCGATCTGCGTGCGTGAGGGGTGCAAGAGGAGTAGGAGGAGGGGAGGGGGAGGAGGATGAGGTGGGAGGAGCATGCGGAAGAGGAGGATCATCAGGGGGAGGAGGAGGAGGAGGAGGAGGAGGAGGAGGAGGAGGAGGAGGAGGAGGAGGAGGAGGAGGAGGAGGAGGAGGAGGCTGGCGGGGGGAGAAGGAGGAGGCTGGCAGGGGCGTATGCGCCGGCAGGCAAGGACCTCAGCCACGCGGCCGACGAGGTGATCTTCTACGAGGAGGTCCGCCTCGGGGCGGGGCGGGGGCGGGGCGGCGAGTCTGCTCCGCCTCGGAGGTTTTCGGTGGCCTTCCCTCAAGTCGGGCATATCCCTCGACAGGGGGAATATTCGGGTATAGCCAGGACCCCAGGTAAGAGGACCTGGTTAGTGGTTGGGCCCTGGAGCCCCTAAATTGGCCAGAATCACTAAACCAGGTCTGCCACAGCTGGTGTTTCTCGGGTGACGGCAGCTCCGGTTAGTGGACCGGGGCAGGGTGGGCGTCCCCGAGTACACATCACTAAACCAGGTCCCACGAAAGCCAGTTCTGCCAACGCCCGATTTTTGGCCATGTATGATAGCTTTTGGAGCACGTCTGGACTATTCTTCATTTTTCGTGCAAAATCCGCCTGCAGCGGGACATGCCCGACCTAAGCCTTCTCCTCCGGCGCCGCCCCTGGCGCTCTTTGCGCGCCAGGGATGGGGGCCCAGCGCAAATCCAAGATCCGCGCGGACCGTGGAACGTTTCTATCGTCTTCTGGGTACCCCCAACAGATCAGTCGAGCCTCGCCCAGAGCATCGAGTCGATTCCATAGCGATCTCGGCGGGCCCGATCCGATCGGATCCCGGCATCCCGACGACCTGGATGCGGCCCCAGGCTTGCACAACTTTGTTGTGCATTTTGGCGCCGCCGATCCGACTCGATCCCGCCTCGGCGCCGGTGCGGCCCGATCCGACACACATTTCGGTCCGATGTGATTTCCCGATTCGATGCTGACTGGTCCTGAAGATCGAATCGAGCCTCGCCCAGAGCATCGATCCCCTCTCCTACTGAGGGCCCCCCCCCAGAGCACCGCTTCCCCCCTGGAGAGGAAGCATGCTGCCAAACAATTCCCAGATGTCTGAACGATGGTTCAACCATGTTCTGAGCATGTAAAGAAACACGTTTGAAGCATTTTTAGACCATGCTTTACAAATTTTAAGCACATCTCCAGTTCAATGATCGGATTGTTAGTAGGGGAACAAAAAGTGGCATAAACGTAAAAACTCGGAGATCCGCGCGGATTTCTCGGATTCCATGGTTTTGTTGTTTTGTTTGTCCCAAATATGTGTGGTTTGCTCCAACTTGTCGCAGAAGAACTGAAAACGCCTTAAAATAAACCTTTGGTGCTCTGCGCGGATTTCTTGGATCCGCGCTGGGACCCCCCGGCGGCGCCCCCCGGCGCCGCCCATTGGCGCGCCGGAGCGCGCCAGGGAGGGGGGGTCCAGCGCGGATCCAAGAAATCCGCGCCGAGCGCCAAAAGCTTATGTTCATGGCGTTGTTTCTCTTCTACGTTCGGCGTTCCTTAGGTGGTAGCACGATGGCTGTAGCTGCAACTCTGGCTCAATGTCTCTGTCTTCAGAAGTCGAAGTCGGCACTGTCCCAGGGCGCTGGCCGGCATCGGGCCGCGGGGGCCCAGACACCTGTGGCATTTGGCAGCAATGGGGGGCGCGTTTTGCGCGCGACGAGTCTTCTCCGAGTCAGTCCTACCCCGCTCACGTGGACGTGCTGTCATCGTTATTCTCACCATGGCGAGGAGGAGGAGGAGGAGGTAGAGTAGGAGGATGTGGAGGAAGAGGGCTACGCATGAGAGGTGGGGGAGGAAGAGTAGGAAGATGAACAGGAAGGTGAAAAGAAGGAGGACGACGAGGAGGCCTAGGCGGAGTAGGATGAGAAGAAGGAGAGGTGAGAGGATGAAGGAGGGTGAACGGGAGGGACGGGAAACCGTAGGAAGGGTGAAGTCATCGGGAGGTATGATGAGATATTTATTGAGAACGGTCGCAAAATGGAATAATAATCTCAAACAATACTGATGCTGCTGATGATGGGTGATGATGATGGTGATGATGATTGTGGTCGTGATGATGATGATGATGATGATGATGAAGATGGTGATGATCATAATGTATGATGATGGTGATAGTGATGGTGATGGGGATGATGATGGTGATGGTGATGATGAGTCTGATGAGGATGATGATGATGACGGTGGTGGTGGTGATGATGATGATGATGACAATGATGACACTGATTGTCATGCTGATGGTGATGATGATGGTGGTAGTGGTGGTGACGATGATGATGGTTATGATAAAGATGATGATGATGATGCTGATGATGATGATGATGATGATGACGATGATGATGTTGATGATGATGATGATGATGATGTTGATGATGCTGGTGATGGTGATGATGATCATGATCATGATAATGATCATGATGCTGATGATGATGCTGATGATGATGATGATGATGATGATGATGATGATGATGATGATGGTGGTAGTGGGGCAGTCTTTCGGCTCCCTTTTCGTCCCTCCATGGCCGGGTCGGGGCCGTCTTGAGGCTCTCTTGGGGCCATCGCGGCCGTCTGGGGGGTCTCTTGGGGTCGTCGCGAGGCCGTATTTCGCCATCCAGGGGTATCTTGGGTTGTCTCGGGTCCTTCTGGAGGCCCTTTTGGGCCCGTTTCCAGCCCTCTTCGGTCCTTCCTAGGTCGTGTTGAGGCCGTTGTGGGGCCAATGTGGGTCATCTTGAGGTC